TACCCCAACTTATTTTTTCCTTTTAATTTGAATGGAATATATTTTTCCATTCCTCCATATATGTCTTTTGTTTTGAGGTGGGTCTCTTGTATTTCGCATATAATATGGGCCATGCTTTCTTATCTATTCAGTCACCATATGTCTTTTGACTGGGTCATTTAATCCATTTACATTTAAGGTTATTATTGATAGGTATTTATTGCCATTATTATTTTCTTTATTCCTATGATCTCCTTTCTCCTTTTCTTTTTCTCAAAACAGTCCCTGTAACACTTCTTGCATTGCTAACTTGGTGGTAATGTACTCCTTTTTGTTTTTTTATAGAAAGCTTTTTATTTTACCTACAATTTAAAAATATATATATTTTATTGATTTTACACAGAGAGGAATTGAGAGGGATAGAGAGTTAGAAACGTTGATTACAGAGAAACATCGACCAGCTGCCTCTTACACAGCCCCCACTGGAGATGTGCCCCCAACCAAGGTACGTGCCCTTGACCGGAATTGAACCTGGGACCTTTCAGTCCATAGGCCAACACTGTAGCCACTGAGCCAAACCAGTTTCGGCTCACCTTCAATTTTAAATGACAGCCTTGTTGGATACAGTAGTCTTGGATTTAGGCCATTGCTTTTCATTAATTTGAGTACTCCATTTCACTTCTTTCTGGCCTGATGCCTTTCTATTGAGAAGTCAGCTGACATTCTAATGGGAACTACTTTGTAAGTCATAATTTTGTCTCTCTCTTGCTGCCTTTAGGATTGTCTTTGTCTTTAACATTTGTCATTTTAATTATGATGTATATAGGTGTTGGACTCTTTGGGTTCATCTTGATTGGGACTTTCTGTGCCTCCTGAACTTGTGTGACATTTTCCTTCACCAGGTTGGGAGTTTTTGTCATTATTTATTTAAACCAGTTGTCTGTTTCTTGCTCACCCTCTGCCCCTTCTGGTATTCCTATAATGTGGATGTTGATATTTCATGTTATTGAAGAGCACCCTTAAACTATCTTCCTGCTTTTTAATTCTTTTTTTTATTTGCTCCTTTAATTGGGTATTTATATCTGCCTTGTCTTTCAAATTGCTGATTAGATCCTTTGCTTCACCCAATTTACTTTTAATCCCTTCCAGTGTATTCTTGGTGTCAGATATATTATTCTTCATTTCTTTCAGATTCTTGTTCATGACCTCTATTACCCTTTTCATGCTCTTGTAATTCGCACTAAGTTCCTTAAGCATCTTTATAACCATTACTTTAAACCCTATGTCTGATAAGTTGGTTGCCTTCATTTCATTTAGCCTTTTTCTGGAGATTCCTCTTTTCTCTCAGTTGAGGGTTATTTTTTATCTTCCCATTTTAGCTGTCTGTTTGCATTTCCTTCTATGTATTAGATAGAACTGTTATGCCTCCCAGTTTTTGTGGGATAGTCTTATGTAGAAAGTGTTTTGAGTGGTCCCATGGTACAGTCTCTTCATTTACATGAACTGGATGCTCTAGGAATGCCGCTTGTGTGTGTTATTTGGGCTCTCCTGTTGTAATTGGGACTTGATTGTTGATGTCTCATTCATTGGAGGGATCTTCCATCTTACTTGCTGCCAGTGATGTTCAACCCCAATGTTGTTGTGCAGATATTATACAGATGCTTTGAGTCTACTATTTGTGGGGCTTGCTGGATTTTTCTCTGATGTTATTGAATTTGGTCCCTTGGTGTTTCTATATTGAGCCTACTGGGAGCTTATGTATTGCAGGTGAATGTGAGTCACTGTCTCTTTCTGGATCTGGGCAACCTGATTGAGGTCTGAGAGGTTGAATCCCCTAGTAGTCCAGTGGTTGGGTGCTCCTTAGCCCAGAGCCTGGGTCTGCCTTGAGTCTCACATCTTTATTGTTCCTGTTCTGAGCTAAACTACCTTTATCTGTAGATGTCACCTCCAGGTGCTTATGTTCCCTTTGTATTTTGCCTTTCTGCGCAGTCCAGGGTGGCGTCTGCTTGAGGTCCAACTGGCTGCACCATCTGGAGCAGTGTCAGTGGCAGGGACCCAAATGCTGTTTCTGAGTAATTAAACACTCAAAGCCTCCAGAAACCCACCTCTCCCTGCAGACTGGTTGGATTCAGCCTTGAGTATTCTCAGGTAAATGTCCACAGGTGGGGTGAGTAGTTTTCCAACAGGGTGGGGAAATTGCTTTTGCATGGATGCTACTTGTTATTATCAGTATCTTAATAGGCTTCAGAAACTCCACAGGATGGGTCAAGGCTTTTTTTAATAGGGTGGTTCAACTGTCTTCCTTCTAGGCAAAAACTGCCAAGATAGCAAAATTCTGCCTAAGAAAGATGATCTCCGGAGCATGAGGTAATGTCTCAGCACAGGAAGCCAGGGTGTCTGCCTTCTGAGTTCTAACTCCTGGGCTCCCATCCATTGATTATTCTTACACAGCTCTAGTCCACTCTGCCCTCCCTCTGCTTGAGCCCAATGTAAGTGACTACACATGAAATTTTTTTGTGTTGACACTTTAAGAGGACACCTGCATTTCCAGCCGTCTTTCCCTGGCAGACAGCAACACTGCTGCTTTTTTAAGTCATATGTTTTTTGAGCACCTTTCTCTGTTTCAAGGACTGGTCTGGGGGACCAAGCTTTGTGTTTAGACCCAAGAGTGCTTAGTGACAACCCCCACAGCTGATCTATCTAGCTGGAACTTCAGCGGCTGTGCGAGCTAATTCATAAAGGGGGCTTTTCTAAACTCACTTGGGTTAGGGAGAACCTTCAGCACAGACAAAAGTATAAATGTACATATGTAACCCTTTCAGTCATAACTTTTTGGTTCATTTCTGCAATATTCACTCTGAGCCTTTCTTTTTTAAAGAATATTTTACCTAAAATAGTAGGAAGAGATATTTAAATTTTGTTCTGAGAGTATACACCTATAGTCACAGCACAGCATTACTGTATAAGTCTCTAAGTCTTTTATAAATGGAACTTCTAAGATGATTAGAATTATTTGGAATAGTATGAATATGGTTAACTGTTGTCAAATGTATAAGTGTAGCACCTGAGTTAGGAAGACTCAGGAAAATCACCAACTTAGAATTCATTTACTTTTTTTAATCACAAAATTTTATTATCTTGTTGTCAGAATCAAAGACACAGTCTTAGGCCCCTACTGAGAAGAGTCCATAGTACTATAATTTATTCAGAGTGTCATATATAGGAAGTCAAAGTCAGAGACTATTTCTATGTAGTATCAAAGGAATGCCACCAGAGAATTTTCATGGTTTTAAAAATCACATTCCAAGAAACTAACCCCAGCTTCTGATCTTTTGACTATATCTTCTTCTTGATATCTCACACTATCAGTGTAGAACCTAATTGGTTGTAACAAGTTGATCTTGGTAAAATGATGAGTAAGCAATATGAGAAACTAGAAGAGCACAGGCTTTGAGTAAGCAGAAAATTCTCAGTTTTTATTCTGACTTTGTCATGTACTAACTGTGTGACAGTGTGGTCGTGGTTGTGATGTGTGTGTGTGTTGGGGGTGTGTGCATGTGTGTATATGTACACTCACACATGCATGGAATAATTGTTCAGCCTTTCCAAGACTTAGTTTCTTCATCTTTAAAATAGGAACATTAATGCATTTTTAAGATAGGGATGCTGGTGAATAAAATGTGTCTAACATCTGGAAAATACTCAGTAAATGCAGCTTCTATTTGCATAATTATTGAGGGTGGCGGCAGCTGATAGTATCAATCAGGGCATATTTGATTTTCATGGCTTTTCTGGTGTATAGGCTTGGAAAAATTTATCAGCTGTGGTTGACAGCTCTAATGGTCACTGCTGGTTCTTCTGCCAGATTTATCCTTTGGTAATGACACATGCACAGATATTCTTTTGAAAAAAAAAAACAATCTTCCTTTATTCTTAAAAATCTCTCCTCTTATTGGCTCAACTATAAACCCTAATATACCCTATAACCCTATTCACTATCACTGCTGCATTTTTGCAATAAGAAATTCATTATTATAGGTGCTCTTATAAATTATTAAAATTTTACTGAAAGATTGAAATACATAAAAGGTTATGTTTTACCACAGCAATTTTGTGCTCACTGATGGTAAATAATAAACTAAAAATACTCTCTTCTACTTGAATTGTCTAACTTATATTTACTTATGAATCTCCATTTAATGAGAAAATCCATGATCATCTTAAGGGCTATAATTGTTTTTGTATTAATCATTATTGAGAGGAATGGAATAACTTTCAAAAAACATGAAATTGAGTCAAGCTTATTTACCAACTGTCATTATTTTCATACCATATTCATTAAATGTGCACCATGAGTCAGTCACTAAATACAGAAAAGAAACATAATTTCTAATCTTTGATTAAATATGTATTGAGGCATTATGAAGGTACTAGAGATATTATGATAACTACATCATGAATTCTGTCCCAAGGTGCTCACAGTTGAAAGAGGCACTCAGGCCTACATATGTGGAACAATTAGAGAGCCAAACAAGGTATTGTGTAGTCAAGTGCTACATAGTTGGGCAAACACAAGGCCTATAACTGACAGGAAAGATCTGGTGGGGGAGGCTGGACTTCATATAAGCCTTGAAGAATGGGGATTTGTATGAACAGAGAGGGACAAATAGGGCATTTTCCATCAGGAGAATATGAGCAAAGCCTTATAAGTGGAAGCATGGTCATGAACATGGTGAGTTAACAGGATAGACTATCTGCAAGAATGCTGGTGAGCAGTGGAGGATATAGTTGGAAGGGTAGGATGAAACTCAATGACAAAGATTCCAGAATCAGATAAATAGGGTTGAACTAGTCATCCCTTAAAGGTCTTTGAGGAGGAAGGTGCCATGATAGTTATGTGGCTCTGGTGTATTTCATGTGGTTCCCATGTCATCATTATTCTTTTGTAAGCATTTCCCTGACTTTGTCTTTGGTTGCTGCTGTTTCCATGTTAATTCATAATGTTTTTTCTCATTTATAAGAAGCATTGGTTCATCAGATCTTAATGATGAGAAAGTTGGTCCTGGATCCCTGAAGAGCAGCCAGAGCAGTGGTATGACCCCAGTAACTCAGAGGTCACCAGCCGCAAGCCCATGCAGCGTGACCCCAGTCCTCAATATAGTAAGTACACAAATGTGAAGGGACATAAGTTTTCTGGGATTTGACCTCACTACCATGGCATTACTGGGTCTCAGCTCTCTATATCTCAATGCATGTTATTTATAATGATTAATGGTAGAAGCTTCTTTATCAGGACTGAACCTTTTGCATTCTTAACTCCCAGCAGGAAGCCTGAAGTAGAAGGAAAGGGAAGAAACAGGTTCAGATGCGGAATTTGTATGATGAGAATTTAAATGGCTATATGGTTTAAACAACATATAAATAATTTTAGAAATCTTTGATTTTGATCTCTCCATGTTACTTCTCAAGATGTCGAATGCACTAAAATTTTCCAAACTGATTTAAATCAGCAAAAGTAGAATCTTGAAATTTTTTCTAGTTCTATTTTCTTTTTCTTTTTTTAAAATATATTTTATTGATTTTTACAGAGAGGAAGAGAGAGGGATAGAGAGTTAGAATCATCAACGAGAATCATCTATCAGCTGCCTCTTGCACATCCCCTACTGGGAATGTGCCCGCAACCAAGGTACATGCCCTTGACTGAAATCGAACCTGGGACCCTTCAGTCTGCAGACCAAAGCTCTATCTACTGAGCCAGACCGGTTTCGGCACTGTTCTATTTTCTATACATCTATTAAAATAAGGGGTCAATGCATAATGATTTAAATTGCATAATATGAGTGTATATAATATATGTGTGTATATGGAAGCTGCTCTTTCTTAATTTTATTGATTATGGTATCACATAATTGTCCTCACCCCCCCCATTCCAATCCCAAACCTCTCCCCACATATGCCCCTACCCCCCTGTTGTCCATGGCCATTGTCTAGGCCCACATGCATATACACAAGTCCTTTGGTTGATCTCTCCCCTTTACCCCCACCCTCCCCCACTTTCCCTCTGAGGTTTGAGCGTCTGATCGCTGCTTCTTTTTCTCTGGGTCTGTTTTTGTTCATCAGTTTATGTTGTTCGTTATTTCCTCTAGATGTGTGAGATCATGTGATCAAAAAATACCCTTGTAAGAACTGAAACTGAGACAAGCCATAATGGTTATGCTGAGAGGCAAATGAATCAGTCTGTAGTGAGTTCCTTTCTGGGCCAACAGTTCTTTGGAGTCCCAATTTCAATGTCAAACAGTTCCTTATGTGTACATGTCAGCCATGATACTTCAGATCTGATTGGTGGACAAATGGTGGTGATGCAGGTCCTACCGTCTCTGGTTTGGTCCTGGGCATTCTTCAGCAACACGCAGCTGCTGTCTGCTGGTATGGCAAGGCGTGGAAGCTGCTCTTTTGAATGAATGAGCATTTACTAGATTTTTTGGATTAAACAAAAAACCATAATATATAAACTTTATATACAAACTATAGTTTTTTTTTATTCAGCCAATATTTAATGAGGATCAGATATATGCCATTCCTGGTCATGTAAAGGCTTGAAAGAACTAAATGAAATAGCCTGCAGGAGTCTGAGGTAAATAATTCCTCCAGGAAAGAACACCACTTATATTTAGCAGGTACATTACTGGATGGCTGTTCCAATTACTTATGGCCGACATCCTTGAAAAATCAGTGGCTTTGTTCAACCAATATCTAAAATATGTTTAATGCCCCTGAAGTAATAATCATTGCATAGATTCTGAGGTGTGTGCATGCCCGCTATGTACAAGGAAGAGCAAGACAGCTTGTGTGACTCTTGCTGGTGAGTGAAGGGAGGAGTACTAGGAAATGCATTCAGAGTTGTAATAGGGACAGATGGAACCTTGCAGATCACAGAATGCACTTTGGCATTTACCCTGGATAAGATAGGAATCATTGAATGGTTTGTGCAGAGGATTGACATGATATAGCCTCTGTTTATGCAGGATCTGGGAGCTGTGTTTAGAAGCAGCTGAAGGGGAATAAGAGTAGAAGCCAGAAGGCCATGGCAGAGACTGGACTTCAGGGAGAAAAGATAAAAGTGGAGGTTGTGAGCAGTCATATTCTACATATTTTTTAAAAGAAATAGCCAAAAGGCATTCAGAAAGATTTAATAATAGATATATTTGAACACTTGTAGTCTAAATTGTACTTGCTGATAATAAAGATGCGATATTTGGAATTTCTTAAATATTTATATTAAGATCAGCAAGTGGTACTATTCAATAGTTAGAAAAATACATGAATATTTGATAATTGTATTCATTTCTTTGGCCACCTAACAAGGAATGATCCTCAAAGTATTTAGCAACTGATATGGTAGGAAAACTGAAAAATCAGAGCAAATACTGGCACAAGTTTAGGGAAATATCTTGTGGGCCCTTATATGCCACACATTAACTGCATTATGGGATAAACTAGGGTTGTGGAGGAGGGAAAGCACAAGGAAGGGTGATAGACTGGGAGAAGTGCTGTTTATAAGTGATACAAAAGTCTTTAAAATTTTTAATAGCTGGACAGCTATATCGTTGGGTAGCAGAAGACTATCAGTTTAATGACCAGTAAGTTTGTCAAGTTTGTTCTCAAAACAAGGATTATCTTCTTAAGTATCATTTTTGTCATGTGCTAATACCCTGAAAATTGACAGCCTCTACATGAATATTTTTTTATTAAACAACATTTAGATTTTTTCTACATAAATTCCCTAGAACTGAGTTGCGTATATGTACTGTGTTGATCTAACTTTTGCATTCTAGCTGATCTAGTTAGTCTTTTATATGAGACAAAGATAAGTATTTTCTGTTGAATAAACGGAAGACAGAACAGTACTTTAAAAAGTATGCTTGCTCTTTCATGAAGAAGGGAAGAAGTGTACAGACTATGATAATTAATATAACTTCTCTTAAATTTGTCCCATTTCTCAGCATCTTTTTATTTTAATGTTCTTTTCTGCTTTAGCATGTGAGAGTAATATTTTTAAAATGAAAAACTCTTAGAACATCAAAGTACCTAACCCGACCTCTGCTATAATGTAACTTGTCGACTTTAGGTTTCACATTCTGAATCTCCAGGATATGTACTTCATGTTAATGACTGTACAATATTAATTGGCAAATTGGTGTTCAACAGTAATTATCCTCTCCGAGTGCCAATTGGAAAATTTTCTGTCAACATAGTTGCCTCTCAGAAAGCTGGTCTTACTTTGTTGGGGAACTCAATGTATGAACAATATTTTGAAGAGGTGAAAACTGACCTAAACTAATTTATCTGTTTGACCTCTATCACAGTCTTATGATAAACCCTGGTGGTCTGTAGCAATTAATTAGGAACTATATTCTTCCTACTATAGGGAATATGTATTAGAAAATAATCAAATACCAAAAACAGTCTAAATTGAAGCTGCAGTGAATAGCATGCTAAGCAAATGAGAGCCACATCTCTTTGAGTTCATCAAAATGTCCCTCAGTGGCTAAGGTATGGGCTAAATATAGGGCAAGAAGAAAGAAATTCCTTTCAGTAAAATTTTTAAAAGCATTTTTTGATTGCTATGGAAAAGGGAATTTAAGAGTTTCTTTTATATTTGATCATTATCACATTATGGTATCATTTCCATGGGCATTTAAACTTGACCCACTTACTGAAAACAATCAAAATTAGTTTTTTAATGCTCGAGCTATGTTGGAGTGATGTAACAGCCAAGCCATTGTAGGCCCAGGGATATTTAGGACAGAGTTTTCCTTTATTATATGTTACAATAAAAGCAGGTTTGAGATTGAATTCCCCCATTTACACAAACATTTATTAGTAAAAAGATACCCCCAAATCACCAATTCCTGTAAATTAGGGAAGTCCCCATTCTTTATCCTTTTATGAACTTTGATAAACACCCTTGCATTAAAGTTCCATTTTAATAACAATGTAACCAACTAGGTTCAGATCATCCAGCTTGATAAATGGAAAATGTGGCATGGTCTTCTGTTCAATGAATGTGGAGTAGGTAAAGGGAGATTGAGATTGAGGAGAAAGGGTGTTGAAAGAGGGACAAGCATAAGGCCATAGTTTTAAGCTTACATAGTTTATGTAAGTTGGAAGTACATGTATCATCTTAACTAACCATATAGTAGAATGCTCCCTGATCTTGTGAATGAAAAATTATTTCCAATGCCTTCATTAGCATTAAAGAGCAATTATCCTACATAATAAAAGAGTAATATGCAAATTAACCATCAATTCACTACACCCACAAGCCATGCCCACCAGCCAATCAAAGCGAGTATGCAAATAAACCCAACCAAGATGGCTACAGCCACAGAGAGCAGGAGGGAGGCTTGTGTTTCCCAGGCAACTGCGGAAGCCACAGAGGGCAGTTGGGAGGGACCAAGCCTGCAAGGGGAGGGAAGTTAGGGGTGACCAGGCTGGCAGAGGAGGGAAGTTGGGGGCAAACAGGCTGACAGGGGAGCAGTTAGACATCAATCAGGCTGGCAGCGGAGTGGTTAAGGGGTGATCAGGCTGGCAAGCAGAAGAGGTTAGGGGCAGGGGCAATCAGGAAGGCAGTCAGGCGAGCAGTTGGAAGGCAGCAGTCCTGGATTGTGAAAGGGATGTCCAACTGCCCATCAGACATCCCTTGAGGGGTCTCAGATTAGAGAGGGTGCAGGCTGGGCTGAGGGACACCCTCCCCGCACCCGTGCACAAATTTTGTGCACCGGGCCTCTAGTTAATAATAACTTTTAGAGTTATATGGACTCTTGATGAGAGTCCTCCAAATATTAATAATCTCCTAAAGAATATACACTTAAATGTGGCTTTACTGAAATGTATTTCTGTGGAAGAATTTTAAAGTAAATTATTATCACTATAATGTTTTTGTTGTTGTTGTTGTTGTTGTTGTTGTTAATGTTTACTTTGTGAGAAGGAGCATGGTTTTGAAAATTCTTTGGATTTGGCTGCCATTGAAGGCACCTCAGAGGACTTCACAAAGAATCATTGCAGAAACACTTCTCACGCATCTTCTGTGGCCTCTCTCTCTTCAGGTGGGTATTAACAATATGACTGCTCTGTTGTACAAAATGACTAAATCAGGTGGAGCTGACTCTCTTGTGGGCATTAAATGGATGTTTCTTGCCTTAGAAAAAACTTGTCTATTCTTTTGGAACTGTGGTAGTAGGCCCACTCAATAAGAACTGCTTAAAGGTGGTCCCAGGTGATGTTTTGAACCTTTTACATTTATGCAAAATCCATTTCCCAAGTGTACACTTGCCAGATATCATTGCCAAATTTCAGAGCTATCCTATAAAATAAAAGGCTAGCTGATACCGGTTTGGCTCAGTGGATAGAGCATTGGCCTGCGGACTGAAAGGTCCTAGGTTCGATTCTGGTCTAAGGGCATGTACCTTGGTTTTAGGCACATCCCCAGTAGGAGAGTGCAAGAGGCAGCTGACCGATGTTTCTCTTTCATCAAAGTTTCTGACTCTCTATCCCTCTCTCTTCCTCTCTGTAAATAATCAATAAAATATATTTTTAAAAAAGGCTAATATGCAAATCAACCAAATTGTGGATGACTGGTCACGGTGATGCACAGTGACCACCAGGGGCAGACACTCACTGCAGGAGCTGCTCCCTTGTGGTCAATGAACTCCCATAGGGGGAGCGGTGCTCAGCCAGAAGTCAGTTTTATGGCTGGTGAGCACAGCAGTGGTGGTGAGAACCTCTGCCACCTCCGCAGCAGTGTTAAGGATGCCCAATTGCTGGCTTAGGCCCACTCTCTGAGGGCTCCTGGACTGCAAGAGGGCACAGGCCAGGCTAAGGATGCTCCTCCCCCCCCCCCGCCATAAGTGCATGTATTTCATGCACAGGGCCTCTATACCAAATATAATTGGCTAATTTGATATGAAGGGCAAAGACACTTGCCCAGAGTTCAAGGAAATTAACTTAAAAACTTAATTGTTGAAATTATTACATATGTTCCCCTTCCCCCCTATTGACCCCTTCTAGCTTGCACCCACATTCTGTCCCCATGGAACAGACTGTCCAATCTCAGAGGGAAGGCAGGGGTGGGTGGGTGGAAAGAGTTTAACCCATGGGCATAGACAATAGTGTGATGAAATCAACTTTTTAAAAATTAACAGATTTATTGAAATATAATTTAGATACCATAACATTTATCTGAGTTTTGTCAATTTGCATTCATTTTGATTGACTGTAGGTTTGGATTAATTCTACTATCTTACTTTAAATCTTTCATTCACCTCATTTTTGTTCTAGGTTCTATTCTTTCTCTACTGTCTTCTTCTGGATTGATGTCTCCCCACACCATTACATTTTCCCCTTCCTCCTAGTTTAGTATACACACCATTTCTCTTTTAATGATTCTCTTAGAGTTTGTAACATCATGTTTAACTTAAATTTTAATTTCTAAAAAAATGTTAATTCTTTTTGATTTGGTAGTCAGCAATACCCTATATCTAGACAAGTTAACCATTTCATGGTTAAAATAAAGAATTATTTGCAAGCAGTGTTAAGGTATTATTAATAATAACCTCTTTCATTTATATGGTACATTCAAATATATAATTTCACTTCATCATCACAATAGCTCAGCTGCTGGCAAGACCCAGAGAAAAAGAAAGGCAAGGGCTGATCAAAAGCTGCCATGGAGGCTGTGGATCAGACTCTGCTTCTCTCTCCGGGCCTCTTTCCAGGCCTGATTCACAGCCCCCTCAGCAGTCAGTGCTGGGTTACTATGGCACCTGCAGCATGACAGTCAACTGCAAGACTGACTTCTGGTGTTCATTCATCTGTTTTGTTGTTTTGGATGTTACGGACTCTGGAATGAATGAATAAAGTAACTTTTCAGAAAAACTGGTCATTATGAAGTTTATGCCCCATATGTAGAATTAAAATAATAAAATTCTCAACATGAAAATGTCACTTATTACCTAATGATGATATTTGCATAAAGCCTAAATCTGGATTCTGTATGCCAAATCAGAGAGTCTTTTCTAGACAGGTAACTCCAAAAGGTTTTTCTAAATGAGTATTATTATTGTTGCATTTTGCTAAGGATTAGAAAATCAGTTCACCTATTAAATAAAAAATTTTAAACTAGGCTAGAAGCAAATATTCTAGAATGTATTTCTACTATTTCTGCTGAACACTTCCTGTTTATTGAGTATATACTCTGTGTCAGGTGCTATGCTAAATACTTTTGCTTTATATCATTTACCATTTCAAACTTATTTACTTGATTGCTCTCTTAAATCTTTCTTTTTTATAAGCAATGATATCTATATCATTCTATATCAGGGGTTTGACATAGAACTATTCTGTGGAAATAAACTGTCTTAGTAGGCTTTCCACAGCATTACTGACTAGTGTATAGTTCTTTAACTTATATTTTCAAAAGCAAGATGTTCTTTTGATTATAGAATGTTCTGGTACATAAAGAAAATAGAATCTTCTCCAATTTACCTGTAGCCACACTCTTTTATTTGAATTATAAATTTTAAAATCAAGAATGGTTAATGTTTTATTTTTTTCTAAGCTTAAGGGTCCATTCTGAGAGAGTTTTTCAAAATCTATGAGCAAAACAGAAGACTTAAACAGCTTAAAATTAGCATTTTGTAAAAGAGCATTTAGTCTCCTATGATCAAAGGAGAAATGAATACATCAGTGTTAGTAATTCAGTTCAAGGAAATTTCAAAGTGATACTAAAATGAAAGTATGTTAGCATAAACAGCATAATGTTACTGAGTCAGACTGTTAATTTCACAACACTATTTATGTTCCATACCTACAAAAAATTGGAATAAAGATGAAAGATTTACAATAAAAAACGAAATCTTCTAAAAAGTAAGCTGATTCATATTTTCCTTATTCTCTTCCTTCCCCCAGACCAGAGTCAATCTAAGTTAGATTTGAGTGGTTCATTTACAGAAGACTTAAAGGATACTGTAAATTTAAGAAGCAAGTCTGTACCTGGGGCTTTAGACAAAGATTTGGTAAGTTGGATACAGAAGAGTCCAATGATCATGGAGTAAAGGCATGATTTTGTTCAAAACTTGTCCACTTTTACATGAGGATGAGTTGAGGGTAAAGTGAGGATATACAATAAACTCTTTCTATTAGTCTTCACAACTAACATATAAAAATAAGGAATGATTTAGCAAAGGTAAGAGGTAATCAGATTAATCTGGAAAGATTATCCTTAAGAAACACCTGTCAGGGATTTCAATTCCTACCTAAAAGCACATTACTCAATCTAAACCTGAGAAATGGGAAATATCAACATTTCCTAAATGAATTATTACTAGATTTAATGTGATTATGTATTTTATATGAATATTTCTACATCTCCAGTTACTCTCAATAAACTACCTTCATAATTAAGACTAAATTATTGGAAAATTAATTTATAAAATGAGAAAGTTGAATTTGATAATTGGTAAGGTTACTTCCATTTCTAATGTTGTGATATTCTGAATTCTATAATTCTTATAATGCAATTTGAACTCTGTGGAAGAAAGATAAAACACAAATATTAAATGACATTAATGTAATTTTTCCAAAGCAAAGCAAGAAACATACAGTTCTAAAACTCAATGTTATTTACTACAATATAAATAATAGGTATTTTTAAATCCACCACCAAAAAGTAAATAAATAAATAAAAAGAGGGAGAGAATAATGAGATCAGATGGTTTCAAAGTTCACTTGTATTCAACCTTTAAAGAAGTTAATTTCAATGTTATAAAAATGTTTTTGATCTTACAAACTCTGAAAATCTTCAAGTTCATATTTTTAAAATATTATAACCTTCATTGCTTCCCTCATCTTCATTGGTCCTCACTCAGGTTTTAAAACCTCTTCAATCCTTAGTTCAGCTCAAACCTATAAATTACCTCATTTCTCTGCTGATACATTTCCCTGCCACCATTCTCTCAACTCCCTAATTGTCCTCCACACTGCTGGCAGACATCTCCTAAAACACATACCCATTCAGGTTTCTCTCTTACTCAAATAGTGTCCATAGTTTCCCATTGCCAAGAGAATTAAGACCCTTCTTACCTTAGTGTTCAGGTTTTCTTTAAGAGGTAGCCTTTAGGAGCCCTACTACCTTTTACCCATCTATATGTCTGTAAGTCTTTTTCTTTGCTTGTCTAATTTCTACCTGCTATTCTAATACCTTTTTTTCCCTTTTTGACCTTTGGGTGACATCCTTAAAGAATTCTCAAGCACACTCTGACAGAAAATGGACTTACCTAAATGTGCCTGATGCTGACGCAGACATTGTGAGTTTTCAATCTTTCCTTTTCCTTTTTCCAACCATACTTCACAAATTTTATGGTACAGGGAATCTGATTAGGTAGGCGATTTTACAGCATATACCTTTTTCTTATTTGTATTCAATTAACCAGATGCTCTCTTTTAAAAGGTAAATAAAATTATCAAAATCCAAGTATTTCCAAAAAGATATCACTCATTAAAAATTAGAGTATGAATACTAGTCAAAAGATACATGGTCCAAAATTATTTATCATTGATAAGATACTTTTAGAATAAATACCTCTATTTTATTTTTTAAATCCTCACCCAAGGATATTTTCCCATTGATTTTAGATAGAGTGAGGGAGGGATGGACAGAAGAAGGGAGCAAGAACAAGAGTGAGAGCACAAGAGAGCTCTATTTTAAATCACAGCATTGGCTTGGTTAAGAGCATAAAGTTTGGTTAGCAGTAAAATTGCCTTAACTGCCTACATTTCTCCCAAGCTTAAACATTTGTGAGTTCTTAAATTTTCTTTCATCTTTTGGGCCCCTTGCTTACAGAGGAACTTCTTTGAATAGTGGCTACAGAACCATGTGGAGAGTCAAGAATTAGTGATAAAAGAAAATAGTGTGAGATATGTTAGGGAAGTCCTCAGACTAAAAATCTACAGAACTTACTGTATGTCTTGGTGCTGCCAACAATTTCTGTGAGCCAGAATTTTCTCATATATAACATGATGAGGTTGGAGCTTATTTTTGAAGGCCTTGAAACTCAAATGACAGTTCATGGACCAGCAACACTGCAGCAATACCTGAAACAATATTCCAAAACTTTATCAGTTCAGGGAGCCTCTAGTATCTCAGTGATATTTTCATGGCACTCCTAGACCAAAAGTAATACCTGAATAGCCAATTTATTAATTAGTTTTGTAAAAACAAAAAAACAACAACAATAAGCACTGGTATCCTAACAACTTATCCACCTGGAAAAAAAAATACACATAAACTGAGAGAAAAATAATATTTTATTCCATTCTTAAATAGCCATTAACATTTACTAATGGAATGTGTGTGTCTGTTGGCACTACATGAATTGTTAAATCTTGAAATCTGATTGGATGGCGCCACTTTAATTTCATTTTTGTTTTTTCAGTTCTCACTAGATATTTTTCCATTGATTTTTAAAAAGAGTGGAAGAGAGAGGGAAATACAGAGAGAAATATTGATGTGAGAGAAACACATCAATTGGTTGCCTCCTACATGAAGCCTGACCAGGGCCCCTGGCCAGGGAGGATCCTGTAACCAAGGCATGTGCCCTTGACTGGAATTGAACCCTGGACGCTCTGAGCCAAGCCAGCTAAGGCTAATTTCTTATTCTACATTGATTTTATGCAATACTTGTTTGTTTGTTTTTTGTGACAACAACTGCCAAAAACTCAACTTCACACAGATAGGACTTCATAAAGAATAAAATGTAATTTAATGTTGATACTGCAAACTACTGTTTGTAGTTGATATGGTGCCTGATATGGTAGATGTCACTTTGTTACCTTTGTAAATTTAAAATACCTGTTTACCCTGTGAGTTTGCTGAGGTGCTGTGGAACTACTCAACAAACAGTTTGGAAATTGTGGACCTAGTAGTTAGAAAAGCAAAATCTCAGACCCTACCTAAGATAGAATAGATCCAAATACTTGTTTTAATAGATCCCCATTTTATTTATATGCAATTAAAATTTAAAAAGCACTGCTAAAAGCCACCTTCTATGATGACAATTCTGTTGCTTTATTTTATAAATAGGAAAGATAAATTAGGTCACTCACTGGCTCTCTATAAGTTATAATTTCCAAGTATAATTTCCTCCCTCGGTATCCACATGATGTGTAACCTATGGATATGGCAGGCTGCATCTAATTATGGCATCCTTGGTTTGCTCTTGCTCTTGACTTAAGCCTAGAAGAGAAACTAGTCAGATCGCCCACATCCTGTTCTTAGATTACTCTCTATCTTCTCTTAGTGATTGGAGGGATATAATGACTTTATATATGTACAGGGTAGTGCTAAGTAAGTTTATAGTTGTTGTTTGGATATTAATACAATAATGAATAAATAAAAATACAGGAAGAAACTGTGTTTCCCATACTCATGACTGTAAACCTACTTTTCCCCCCACCCTGTGTGTGTGTGTGTGTGTGTGTGTGTGTGTGTGTGTATGAAAAAGTCAAAAGTAGAAGTTCTCTGCATTTACCATAGTCCTTACTTACGAGTGGTTTACAAACAAGACTTTTAAGACTATTAAGTCACTCATGCAAGCCTTCCAGGTAGTCTTTTGTGCTAGCTATGCTGCTAAGACAGAGTTTTTGCTTCTGGCACTAAAGGATAATTTTGTTACATTTGATTGAAAATATGTCTCTTCTGATAAGTGAATTGTCAGGAACTTCATTCGTTATGGTATATTTGGACTTTTAAAAACTATTTATCGGTTGGTGTGCTATCTTATTGTTTAGTGTTCTGTTTTGTGGGTTGGTATTTTATAGAGGTTTAGGAAACCAGGGTCCTACATTACTTAGGTGGCCACACAGCTGCTGAGGGATGCCCTTGTTAATACTTCAGTTATAGCTTTTAATTGAGGGTGTCCCAGAGAGAATTTTGTAGCTCTTACTAGAAAATAGATGAGTTTTTGTTTGTCCTGGTGAATGCATTCTAGATCTTGAAGTATATTGAACTTGAGCCTCCTAATAATAAAAGACAAAGCTAGAGGGATTTGGAAAGGAGATGGGATTGCAAATGCCTCAATGACTCTATATTCATTAGAAAAGTGAATAAACAATGTCTATTCACTAATGCAAAAGAGCAAGGCTTCTCCTCTCAGCAAGTTTCCTGTATTCATTACTAATGGTCCTCGATCTTTTTGTCCTTTCTCAGGCTTGGGTTTTATGTAACCAGAAAATTAAGCAAAATAATTTTTGCTTTCTTCCATTCCTTAGATTTCCCTACTGATTATCAAGAACAGGAGTTGTGATTGAATGAAAAGGGTGTTTTTTGTAAAGAGATCATTAGTATAACACTAGAGGCCCAGTGCACCAATTCAGATGGGGTCCAGCCAGCCTGTCGCCAATCGTGGCAGATAGGGGTTGGGCCTGTCAGGAGGATGAGACACCAGGAGGTTGGCTGCCAGTCAGCCCCCATCGGGACCTGATCAGGGCTGAGCTGGCTGGGGGTAGGGGCTGGGGGCAATTGGCCAGTAGGCCCTGCTCCTGATTGTGGTGTGGGTGTGTGTGTGTGGGAGCTTATAAGGGGTAGGCCAGGCATGAGGAGGGGCTGTGAGCAGTCCTCAAATGGGGCAGGTGGGTCAATCAGGGGTCAGTGGCTGGGGGAGGGGTTGGGGGAGGTGTGCCAGCCAGCCCCACCTCCAATTGGTGTCTGGCAGCTGATCAGGGGTGGAGCTGGCTGGGGAGAGGGGCCATGGGCCAATTAGGTTGGTGGGAACTGATCTAGGGTGGGGCTGGCCATAGGGAGGGGCTGAGTGTTGGGCCAGCCAACCCTGCCCCAGAATGGGGTGGGGTAACCAATTGGGGGCCAGTGGCCTGGAGAAGGGGCCATGAGTGGTTGGCTAGTTGGTCCTGCCCCTGATTAGAGTGGGGGGCGGGCAATTGGGGGCAGAGCTGGATGGGGGGAGAGGCTGTGGGCTGATCAAGGTGGTCCGGGGCCCATCAGGGGCAGGGCCAGCCAGGGGGAAGGACCACAGAGGAGGTTGGCCAGTCACCCCACCCTTGATCAAGGTGGGAGAAGCTGATTCAGGGGCAAGGCCACCTGGAGGAAGGACCGTGGGAGGTTAGCCATCAGGCCCCACCCCCTGATCAGGTAGGTTGGCTGGCCACCGCGGGCATGATAGCAACTGGTCATTCTGGTCATTCCAACATTCTGGTTGCTGGCTTTTTATATATATAGCTAGGACCCCTCTTTCTATCTTGTTTATTCCAGGCCAGCCTTAATAGCATGCTGAGTGTTTACAGTGAAACGGGAGACTATGGCAATGTGAAGGTCAGTGGTGAAATCCTTCTCCACATCAACTACTGCTACAAAACTGGCAGGCTCCACATTTTTGTCAAGAATTGCAAAAATCTGGCCATAGGAGATGAAAAGAAACAAAGGACAGATGCGTAAGCACAGAGCATATTCTGCAGTTTATTTCAATTACTTTATTTTTGTCAATATATGTGTTTATTTTGTAGAAGACTAGAGGCCTGGTGCACAAAATTCATGCCTGGGGGATCCCTCAGCCAAGCCTACACCCTCTCACAATCGGGACCCCTCAGGGGATGTTCAACTGCCAGTTTAGACCCAGTCCCACAAGGATCCCTGCGGAATAAGGCCTAAACTGGCAGTTGGACATCCCTCTCACAATCCGGAACCACTAGCTCCTAACCACTCACCTGCCTGCCTGATGCCCCACTTTCCTACCTGATTTATTGTCCTAACCACTCGCCTGCCTGTTTGATTGGCCCTAACCACTCTGCCTGCCTGCCTGATGCCCCTAACTGCTTTCATGCCTGCCTGTTTACCCCTAACCATTCTGCCTGCCTGCCTGATAGCCCCTAACCACTCCGCATGCCTGCCTGACTGACCCTAACAACTCACCTGCCTGTCTGATCCCCCCTAACTGCTTGCCTGCCTGCCTGCCTGATCACCCCTAACCACCTCTGCCTCGGACCCTGCCATGGTGGCTTCATCTGGAACGACATATGGAATGATGTCTGGAAGGTCATTTGGCTGCCCAGTCTAATCAGAATATTACATTTTTATTATTATAGATTCTTTTTTAAGCTTATCTTTTTAAAATTAAATTTATTAGGGTGACATTGATCAACATGATGTGATTTTATGTTACAAGATCTGTATATTTTACCATATGCCCATCACCCGAAGTCAAATCTTCTCCTGTCACCTTCTCCTGACCCTCTTCTCCCTGACACCCTTCCTTCTGGCAACCACCACTCTGCTGTTTGTGTTCATGACTTTTAGGTTTATATCCCATATATGAGTAAAATCATGTAGTTCTTAGCTTTTTCTGACTGACTTATTTTACTCAGCATAATGTTTTCAAGTTCCATCCATGTTGTTACAAATGGCACTATTTCATCCTTTCTTATGGCTGAGTAGTATTTAATTGTGTATGTGCACCACATATTCCTTATCTAGTCCTCTATTGCAGAGCACTTTGGTTGTTTCCATGACTTGGCCACCGTAAATAAAGCTGCAATGAACATAGGGGTACATACTAGTATATCTTTTTAAATACATGATTTGCAGGTTGTAGGGTATGTAACCATGAGAGGGATTGCTGGGACATATAGTAAATATATTGTTAATTTTTTGAGGAATTTCCAGACTGTTTTCCATAGTGGTTGTCTGCATTCCTACCAGCAGTGAATGTGGATTCTCTTTTTTCCAAAACTTCTCCAAAACTTGTTATTGCTTGTCTTGCTGATAAAGGCTACTCTAATAGGTGTAAGATGGTGTCATATTGTAGTTTTTTTAAATATATTTTATTGATTTTTTACAGAGAGGGAGAGAGATAGAGAGCTAGAAACATCAATGATAGAGGAACATCGACCAGTTGCCTCTTGCACACCCCCTACAGGGAATGTGCCCGCAACTAAGGTACATGCCCTTGACCGGAATCGAACCCGGGACCTTTCAGTCCGCAGACCGACGTTCTACCACTGAGCCAAACCGGTTTCGGCTCATATTGTAGTTTTTATTTGCATTTCCCTAATTGCCAGTCAGTGAAGTTGAACATATTCTCATATATCTATTGGCTGTTCATATGTATTCTTTTTTTAAAAATATATTTTATTTATTTTTTTTGCCCCTTCCCTCCCTCCCATACTTACCCTCCCTCCCCAGAGTTTGATGTCCATTGGTTGTACTTATGTGCATGTACACAAGTCCTTCAGTTGATCTATTATCTCCCCCAGATCTTCCTCCCCTCCCCACTGTAATTTGACAGTCTGCCTGTTGCTTTACTGTCTCTATATCTGTCTCTTGGTTCATCAGTTTATAATGTTCTTTATCATCCACAAATAAGTGAGGTCATGTGGTGTTTCTCTTTTACTGATTGGCTTATTTCACTCAGCATGATGTTCTCCAATTCCATCCAGGTTGCTGCAAATGATGAGAATTCCTTCTTTTTATGGCAGCATAGTATTCCATTGTGTAGATGTACCATGGTTTTTGGATCCAATCATCTGCTGACGGGCACCTAGGCTGTTTCCAAATTCTGGCTATTGTAGATTGTGCTGCTATGAACATAGGGGTGCATATATCATTTCTGATTGGTGTTTCTAGTTTCTTGGAATATATTCCTAGAAGTGGGATTACTGGGTCAAATGGGAGTTCCATTTTCAGTTTTTTGAGGAAACTCCACACTGTTCTCCAAAGTGGTTGCACCAGTCTGCATTCCCACCAGCAGTGCACGAGGGTTCCTTTTTCTCTGCAACCTCGCCAACACTTGTCATTTGTCGAATTGTTGTGTGATGTTGGCCATTCTGACAGGTGTGAGATGGTATCGCATTGTTGTTTTAATTTGCACCTCTCGGGCAATTAGTGACTTTGAGCATGTTTTCATGTGCCTTTTGGCCTTCCTTCTGTCTTCTTTTGAAAATATTCTATTTAGGTCCATTGCCCATTTTTTAATTGGATAATTCATCTTCCTTTTATTTAGTTGTATAAGCTGTCTGTAAATGTTGGAGATTAAACCTTTATCAGTGGTATTATTTGCAAATATGTTCTCCCACACTGTGGGCTTTCTTGTTGTTTTGTTGATGGTTTCTTTTGCTGTAAAAAAGCTTTTTATTTTGATGTAGTCCCATTTGTTTATTTTCTTTAGCTTCCATTGCCCTAGGGGCAGTATCAGTGAAGAAGTTCTTTTGGCATTCGTTGGAGATTTTGCTGCCTGTGGATGGTTCTAGTATTTTTATGGTTTCCCGTCTGATGTTTAAGTCCTGTATCCATTTTGAGTTTATTTTTGTGAATGGTGTAAGTTGATGATCTAGTTTCATTCTTTTGCATGTATCTGTCCAATTTTCCCAACACCATTTATTGAAGAAACTGTCTTGACTCCATTGTATATTCGTGCCTCCTTTGTCAAATATTAATTGGGCATAGTGATTTGGGTTGATATCTGGGTTCTCAATTCTATTCCATTGATCTATATGTCTGTTCTTGTGCCAGTACCAGGATGTTTTGAGAACAATGGCTTTGTAATATAGTTTGAAGTCTGATATTGAGATGCCTCCTACTTTACTTTTCTTTCTCAGGATTGCTATGGCTATTCGGGGTCTTTTATTGTTCCAAATGAACTTTTGGAGAGTTCTTTCTAGGTCAGTGAAATATGTCGTTGGTATTTTAATGGGGAGTGCATTGAACCTATAGATTGCTTTAGGAAGTATGGACATTTTGATGATGTTGATTCTACCAATCCATGAACATGGTATGTTCTTCCATCTCTTTACATCTTCCTCTATCTCTTTTTTCAGTGTCATGTAGTTTTCTGCATATAGTTTCTTTACTTCCTTAGTTAAATTTATTCCTAGGTATCTTAATTTTTTTGGTGCTATGGTAAATGGAATTGCTTTTTTAGCCTCTGTTTCTGTGGTTTCACTGTCGGTGTATAGAAATGCCATGGATTTCTTGGCGTTAATTTTGTATCCTGCTACATTGCCAAATTCATTTATTAAGTCAATTAGTTTTTTAATGGAGTCTTTTGGGTTTTTTGTGTACAAATATCATGTCATCTGCAAATAAGGACAATTTTACTTCTTTTTTTCCAATCTGGATGCCTTTTATTTCCTCCTCTTATCTAATTGCAATGGCTAGTACTTCCAGTACAATGTCAAACAGAAGTGGCGAGAGTGGGCATCCCTGTCTTGTTCCTGTTCTTAGAGGGAATGGTTTTAGTTTTTGGCCATTGAGTATAATGTTGGCTGTGGGTTTATCATATATAGCTTTTATTATGTTGAGGTATGATCCTTGTACTCCCACCTTGTTGAGAGTTTTTATCAGGAAAGGGTGTTGTATTTTATCGAATGCTTTTTCTGCATCAATTGATATGACTATATGATTTTTATCTTTCAATTTGTTTATGTGATGTATCACGTTTATTGATTTGCGGATATTGTACCATCCTTGCATTCCTGGAATAAATCCTACTTGGTCATGGTTTATGATCTTTGTGATGTTCTTTTGGAGTCGATTTGCTAGAATTTTGTTGAGGATTTTGGCAACTATGTTCATGAGGGATGTTGGCCTGTAATTCTCTTTCATTGAGTTGTCTTTTCTGGTTTTGGTATTAGGGTGATGCTGGCTTCATAGAAGGAGTTTGGAAGTGTTCCTTCCTCTTGGATTTTTTGGAATAGTCTGAGGAGGATAGGTTTTAGTTCTTCCTTGAATGTTTGGTAAAACTCTCCTGTGAAGCCATCTGGCCCTGGGCTTTTGTTTGCTGGAAGCTTTTTGATGACTGTTTCAATTTCTTTCCAAGTCACTGGTCTATTGAGATTTTTAGATTCTTACTGATTGAGTTTTGGAAGTTTGTATTTTTCTAGGAATATGTCCATTTCCTACAGGTTGTTCAGTTTGTTGGAATAGAGTTGTTCGTAGTATTTTATAACAATCCGTTGTATTTCAGCGGGGTCTGTTGTTATTTCACTTCTTTCGTTTCTGATTTTGTTTATTTGGGTCCTCTCTTTGTTTCTTGGTTAGCCTGGCTAGAGGTCCATCTATCTTTATTATCCTTTCAAAGAACCAGCTCTTGGTTTTGTTGATCTCATTTATTTTTTCTTTGGTCTCTATGTTGTTTATCTGTGTTCTGATTTTTGCTATTTCCTTCCTACTGCTTACACTGGGTTTTTCTTGTTGCTCTTTTTCTAACTCTTTGAGTTGTAGAGTTAGATCATTTGTTAGCATTTTCTCTAGTTTTTTTGCAATAGGCTTGTAAGGATATGAACTTCCCTCTCAAAACTGCTTTTGCTGTGTCCCATAGATTTTGGATAGTTGTGTTTTCATTGTCATTTGTTTCCAGGATGTTTTTAATTTCTTCCTTGATTTCTCTGGTCACCCACTCCTTGTTTAATAGCATGTTGTTTAGTTGCCATGTGTTTTA